GCTCGATAAACAAATTACATTTATTTTTTTCAAATGAAAACTTCTTTAGAATCATTGTGATTTAACACTCGATGAAATGCAATTGATTAAATGGAAATAAGGTAATGACATTAAAAATAGACAAACATATACATCTATAGGATTTATACAGTGTACTGTCCTGTCTACCTATTGAAGACAAAAGGTTTCACTTCTACCGCGTGTGAACTGCACGCATGTATTTTTTTTCTTTATTCTTTGTTCCTTCTTCAACATATTTATTCCAATTGAATTCTTGAGAAATGTTGGGGTATATTTTGTTGGAGGGTTTGTTTTTATAAAAAATTAATTTAGATTTATTTCACTGATACTTTGTTAATATATAAAAGTAAGTTGGTATATATATATTTTGTTTAATTTAAATAATAATAAAAATCCACTTGTATTCGCCATCTTGTGATTTGTGATTTTAATTATCAATCATTTCTTGAAAATACTGATGAAAAATGTTATAAAAATAGTGACCCAATAAATAGTAGCCCATAAAAATGACAATATTTATCTTCGCAAGCTCGATAAAGAAAGAGAGTAAAGGAAAAAAAGGGAATAAAAGAGAGAAGAAGAAAGATCTTTTGCTCGTGGTCGCGTGTCGACCGTTAACGTAAATCACGTGCCGCTTGTTAGTACGGTACACTGTTAACGCAGCCTTCTTCTTCTTCTTCTTCTTCTTCTTCTTCTTCTTCTTCGTTGTCGTCGTAGTCTCCTTCTTTTCCTTCTCCTCCTTCTTCTTCTTATTCTTCTTCTTCTTATTATTATTCTCTCCTTCCTGAGACGCGGCTACCAGCTGTCAGCTGACTTCCGTTTCCGAGCGACTCTTCTCCGTGTTATATTATTAGAACTATCTCGCAAGTACTGCGACCAGGCAGAAAAGAGGATGAAGAATAAGACCAATAATAATTAAGGAAAGCTATCTTTGAGATTTCCATTAAAACTACGAGGAGAAAGAAATCATTGTTAAATACTGACATAGAAAATGATGTTTTTGTTTGTATTGATATTTTATGCACTAATGTATATATTAATACAGGCTGTCTTAATATTCGTTCTATCAAGAAAAATAAAATGACAGATTAATGTTACGAAAAAATTGTACAATTTACAATTGTTCAATTGGGTAAAGCGAATTTTGGGATATCCTGTAGAAAAATATGATAGATTCGATTGAAAATGTACAAACATACATATATCATTTAATATAAATCTGGAATTATTTCTGTTATTCTCTATTGGACGATCGGTGGTACATGTTGAAGAGATACTAGGGTAGACACAAATCATTTTATAAATCCGGTATTAACCTACATCCTTCGTCAGTGATTCGAGGTGAACCAGCGCACAGTAGCGACGGCATTAAAGTAGGTTCGTTGATTAACGCGTCGACTGCAAAATGTCAGTCGTCGTTGTCGAATCGACGTGCCCGCGGGCTAATTTCAAGTCGCGTTTTCTGCTCGACCTGAATCACTCTGGGAGAGAAGGAAACGTAATCGACGGAATTACATCGTCGTCTTCACGTGGAAAATTAATTTCAAAAAGAAAGAAAGAAAGGAAAAAGAAGGGAACGAAAAATATACATGGAAATAGATATCTTAATATTATTCAAGAGATCACATTTCAATTGTCGAATTATTCACGAAATAATAATTATAATAATCGTTAACGTTTTATGATATATCTACATTTTAATGCATTCCGTGCCACATTGAACTTTCCGTTCAAACCATTTCGTATTTTCATTGTAAAACAATGAGTAATGTTCAGACACGCGTTTATTAAAATAATTCTTAGAAACAACAAAATTTACTGCTTTATTGTCTTATGCATCTTAAACTTATTTATACAAATTATGATCTTTGTATTATTTTAATCATTGCAAAGATATATATCAGTATGAAAACAATGCCATCGTAAAGAGTGAGACGTATACGCCCCATACGGCCTGAATGGAAAGTGTATTAATGAATATTCAATCATTTAAAAGTAGTCTATCTTGAAGAATAACGGAAAAATAACGTGAACATTTTTGGTCGTCAAATTTATGTTCTAATCGAGTGAAATCAAGTGTACCAATAGAATTTAATCGATTTTATCAATTATATCAATAAAATCGATAAGGCGAGTGCGCGAGTACGGAAACTAAATATAGAATAATATGCATAAACAATAAGGTGATAGATAAAAAGATATTGTATCGAGAAAAAATTCATAGTCATCGTTTACCTTCTATCTTATCGGTAATCACGATTAGTACGATCGATATCGTTATGTATCTATCTATTATATATTTAGGATACATATGCGATACATTTGTCATCCTATACAAACCGGAAAATATATCATCCATATTCAACCAAAAATCACTAACCATATTTTCACTTTTTTTTTTGGCTAAAAATATTACTTCTTTTCAATTTACTATCCATTATTTCATAATTCCAATTCAAAATTAATTTGACGAACAATCATTTAGATTATCCTAAATTTTAGTTAATGATTTAAGCTGAACATAAATGTTATATCGACAATCTACAAAAACACAATCGTATTAGGCATTCGTCAAAATGCTCTCTTTCTTTGCCTTTCTCTGTTCGCAAGAAGTTACTGCGAGAAAACACACATCTGCGAAGTGTGTTTAACATATGCACGTCGAAGGAGGGATAAAGCAAACAGAATCGTAAAGAAAATGTGGCTGACTAAAATCGAGAAGCTCGGTTTGTTTTCCGCACACAGGTGCCGAGCATTCCTTTCAAATAGAACGGTTCGTGCCGACAAGATGTTCGTATACAATGCTCGACCAACACGACCCTAATCTATCCTCCTTCCCTTTTTTACGAGAAAAAAAGATAAGGAAAGGCAATGCTGTCTGAAAAAAAAAAAATATTAAAATATTTTCCTCTTATTCTATTTTTTTTACACGATCCCTCTTAACCGAGTGTAACTGAACACGAAGAAAATCAAAAACAGTTGTTTTTTGACTTGTCTGAAAATTCCTTGACAATTTATACAGCTGAGTCACTCAGAGGGGTAAGATTAGTATCAGCTGGTGCATTAATATTTTCAATATTATCGTCGAATTCAATGATTGAATAAAGAAGAAAAAAAAGAAAAGAAAAGAAAAGAAAATTGTCGCACGTGTTGACCATGCAACGAAAAGCTAAGCCATCTGATAATACCTTTTGCAAGTTATTGAAAAAATAAACGAGACTGAAATAAAAATGTGAAAACCATGTGAGAATAAATCAGCAGCACGAATATATCCTGTCGTAAATCGAATAATAGAATTTTCGATGGTTCCCATTTATTGTTTATACGATACACCCATCCGTGCGGCATGAGGCACACGTGGCAAACACGAAATCTGGCAAAACGTCCCTTTACGAGAAAAAAAAAAAAAGAAACGTCTCTTCTATTATATTTTCTTCTTATTTTTAACGTTTCAAATAAAATGTGCAAAACATATATAACACATTGTACTTGAGCATTCGATCGTTAATTTTCAATATGGCGGAACGCCAAAGTTTGTCAAGCGTGTCAACGAAAAAACGATTGGACGGAACTAGTATATTGTCTCGCAAATTCTCAGGCGCCTCGATGAACATTTCTAAAATTCCACTTTCGGAGCACACTAGAAAACGATGTAGGTACCGTAGAATTAACTAACATAAGAGAGAGAGAGAGAGAGAGAGAGAGAGAGAGAGAAAGAAAGAAAGAAAGAAAGGACTCCGCAATTAACGATCTCTTTCCTCGACGTAGTTGGAAGCTAATTTCCGTCGAAGAGCCACGCTCGAGGGTAGTTCCCATGCTCGAGAGAGAACCTCGAGAGAAGAAAAGGACGTTCGAGCGAGATGCGCTATAGAAAAGGAACATCTCGCTAAAGTATCGAGGGAGAACCAAAAGAGAGAAAGAAAGAAAGAAAGGGAAAAAAAAGAAAAAGAAGAATGGAAGAGAGAGAGAGAGAGAGAGAGAGAGAGAGAGATAGAGAACCTGAAAAGAATTCGGAGGTCGAATCTCCGGGAGATCAGGAGTGGTAAATGGGCTCCTTGACCAGCGAGACGTTCTGGTGGTTGTCGGTGAGTCCCATAAAGTCGCGATTCTCCCTATACAGCACGGAAGAGAGAAAGAGTGTAGCATGGAACGCATTAGGACTGGTGGGTGGTTTAAAGATGTATGCGTACACGTGTATATACGTATATGTGTGTTCACGGGAGTGAAAGAAAGAGAGAAAGAGAGAAGTGGCGCCGTTCAGTCGGCCCCCGTTGCCTCCTGCCTCCAACAATGCGTGCACCTTCCCCTTCCTCTAGAATACGATATTCTCTCTCTCTCTCTCTCTCTCTCTTTTACTCTTACACAAACCCCGATCCTTTCCTGACGTTCTTACCCCTACCACGAGCGCCGATACGGCGCGTCGCGTTTCGTGGAGCCGACATAGTCGACACTCCTCCTCCTGTCCCTCCCCCGATCGGATCCTCTTCATCCTTCTCTTTCTCTTCTACCCTTTCTTCTCTTCTTCTTCTTCTTCTTCTTCTTCCTCTTCTTCTCGATTTCGTGTCCAGCCACTGCTGGAAGTGCCGCATCCTTGTGTCGCCGATAGTCGGGAGTCCGATGATGTGGGATTGCATTGGCAGCAGTAGTAGTGCAGTAGTGGTAGAAGAAGCAGTAGTGGTAAAAGCAGTAGTGGTGGTAGTATGGTGCGTAGTGGAAGCCAGTCAGAACTCCCTCGCACACGGTGAGACTCACGAAGAGCAGTCGCATCGAGTCGAGAACACGAGGCGAGAACACCAGCAGTACGCTGTCGACTACGAACAAGCGTGGACGTTCGTTTCTTCCTTTGGAAGTATCGTTCCTATTTGAGACACGTTTAAAACGTTTCAAATAAAGTATTGACAAAAATCACGAGCTTATTCATTTACGTGAATTTTTATAAAACATTTCCTCGGAAATAACATATTTCTATATATATAAATATATATATATATATATATATATATATATATATAGATTTGTCGTGCGAATATCTCCACTTGTTGGATTTTTGGATTACCTTGGAGGAATATTAGACGAGTTTGTTTTTCTGCAGATTATTTTGCTTTTTTTTTTGTTTTGTTTGATTTTATTTTTTATCGTTTGGTTTTTTTTATTACCATTAACACGTGACAGCAACAAGGAAACAACTAAAAGTTCTAGTGCCGTGACGCTTCATGTGCGCGAGTGTTTAAAAGAGTTAAAGTTGTCTTCATTTGAAAAAAAAAGATTAGTATATTCTGGTGTGGGAACGTGTTAATTCATGAGCCGAAAATGAGCGGACACGTGGTGGAAACAACGTCAGAACTCTCCGATTTTATGAAAGGTGATTTGTGAATTATATTTTTATATTATTAATTAATAACGAACAAGATCGGATACGAGATCGTTCCAAATTATCTTTCATTATTTAATATTTGTTTTGACATTTAACTCGGAGAGGTAACGATCTCTTATCGTTTCTGTCGATAATCCCTTTCGTCTTCTTTTAAATTACAATTTTTTAACTTGTCTGATTAGTCTTCGTAAAACTAATTTTTGTATCGATCTTATTCTACTTTTCAACACAGACACACACACACACACACACATATGAAAAAACATTCATATATCTCGAATACAATTCGTAAGCATAAATTTCGTAATATCGATAAAGACACATCATTCAAAATTCGTTCTTTCAATGATCCGTATTTTGCGTTTGCTTGAAGAAACGCGACAAACAAGAATCATTCATTTTTCCATTTCCTCCTCTATTTACAAATGTCAATCTAACATAAATAGCATACGTCCTTTATCTTACGATAAAGACGTCATTTTTAATAATTACACCCAACACATAGAAAGATTACAGTGTTTCGATAGTAATTTAAGAAACTACCATATACTCGAGCCGATAACAAGAACATTATTTTGGTCAAGGATGGATCATCTACCATTTTAAATAACCACTCATCTAATAGATACATTGACATTATAAAAAAAAAAAATTCGATCGATGATAAATAATTGCACGGTGGTAACTATCTGATTACTTTACGAATAGAAGGATAAATGGGGAAAACGGAAGAAAAGATATTCACGTTTTTTTTTTTCGATAAAGTATAAGAGAGACGGAAAAAAAAGAGACAGTGAAGTATAAAAAAAAAATAGGAAACCAAGGAAAGGAACGAACGATCGTAAGCAGTAGTGCGAAACGGCTAAAATAGGAGGTTAAATCTGGCGCCTTGGTCTCTCTCTGTCTCCCAGTCTCTCTCCCAGTCTCTCTTCCAGTCTCTCTCCCAGTCTCTCTCCCTGTCTATCTATCTCACAGCAAAGCGATTAGTTAACGGCGGGTAGAAGTTGCGATTGCGTTGAATGTGCCGGCAGGCATTTGGTCGATTGATAGTATCATTGGTGGGGGTCGTGGAGAATGATAATTATTGTTATGAGCGGCGCCAGCCGGACCAGAGAGTGAGAGATCGAATGACTCTCTGTGCTGCTGCGAGACACGATGCCGGGGAATCGAGTTTCTCTCTTTTTCTCTCTTTCTCTCCATCTCTGTCTCGGTTTGGTACGTGTGGGTGCGTCAGAGTGAGACAGAGATGGGAGAATAATAGTCGTGTTTCGAGAGTTGGATGCTGCGAGTAGAGTAGTAACTTTGTGTTTGGGTATTTGTGTCTTTCTATATGTATGTATATGTGTGTTGTGTGTGTGTGTATAAAAGAGAGAGAGAGACTGGGCGCGCCGGCGCCAGCGTGGGTCGCGCCACACACGAGAGAGACAGAAAGATGGACAAAGCGATCTAACGTGCTCTGACGAACGACCTCTTGACCATGCTAAAAATCCGACTACTCTAATCGTCTTCTTTTGTATGTATAGTAACTGTTCGATAATGTTCTCTCTCTCTGATTTTTTTTCTCCTTTTTTTCCCTATCTTTTCTCTCTCTTACACATCTAACAATAAAAAATGCGAATAATTATTTATATTTCGCAAGATTTCGTGGATTTTCTATTATTTGATTTCGTTGGAAAGAATGAATGATGATTGATCGTTATAAGAATATTTTTATTATAGGTTTTTTTTTTGTTAATTTTTCTTTTACGAGCTCATTTATATATTTTTTTGTTCTTCTCTCTAGTCTTGTCTCCATTTCTCTCTTTGTATAGGTGCAAGTATGCCATCACCGATTGAGTCAGTTATGATTTTGAGGAAACTTTTTTATTCACTTGTATGTTCGATAAAAAAAAAAAACAAGTTTCGTCGTTTTATCTATTCGTATATTTTGTAAAGAAAATATAAATATTTCTAAAAGTTCGTAGACGAGGAAAGAAAGAATTCCGCGCGTATATATCGCAAAACAACCCACGCTTCCGAATGTATTTAGGTCAAATTTTGTCACACGCGTGGTTCTCTTCGGTCTTTCATTGTTATCTATCCTATCGGAAGGATCTATTTGAGAAACAGAAATCGTTGAAAATCAATGAGAGGAAAATAAAGGAATCCGTTGGCAAATTCCAATCGTAATGGATCAAAATAAAACATCTCTTCTGAGGTGGATAACCTTTATATTACACGAATTTGATCGATCAAACATCAATAATGATTACTATTTCGTTAATAAAAGTTTGTTTATATTTTACGAAATTCTTCATGATATAATATAGCGAAACGTTTATGGTTTCTGAAGAATATGGGTCGAGAATGGACAATATCTACTCATCCATCGACCTTGAGTTCTACGAAAGGATCCTTTCCTTTTCCGCTCGAGCAACCACTCGTGAAATTCGACTTCGTTAAATCTGTTAAGCGAAATTGCTAGGAGAATACAATTTTATCTGACGGAGAGTACCACACGCGGTCCGAAACCCAGCCGAGTGTAATCGATACGCGATTGTGCATCCCAGGTAAAAAAAAAAAAGAAAAAGAGAGAGAGAGAGAGATAAAGAAAAAGAAATAGAAGAGAAGGAAAGAGAAAGGTAGACGATCCTCTTCTTTTCGCCCACCTGTGCGTCCAACTCGCACCTGCCGTCTACTCAACCTTTCTTTCTATATATTTAAAAGCATAGGCGAACAAATAAAATAACCTTTCCTGTTTTCCTAGGTAATTGGACCTTGTCCCGTTAGGTTGTCCAATATTAATATCGCATAATCCGATAGTAAATAAATCAAGATGAAAGAAATCAAAAACTTGTATATTAACACACTAACGAAATGATTTTCATTTAGAAAAACATATAATTAATCTTTCTACTAGTATTATTTTTTTTGTAGCTACCTTCCACCTTTTTTCATTAGAGAAAAATAAACGGAACGCAAGAGTGCGTGTCGAGAAGCATACATACCTTCGTGACCTTATTACAAGGGACTCTTTCTATATTCATATCCGGCTCCTGTTATATCTCTTCGACCGGATCTAGATCGATTATTCGAACCTGTACGATAATATCATGCTCGCCAAGTGCGCGTTTTAATACCTTATAAAGCTTGCCTTTTAATGTAGGTATACATATGTCTGGCTGCGTGTGCACATGTGTGAATGTGTATTCGAGTGGAAGAACGAACAGAGATACCTACATACATACATACATAGGTACATACATACATATGTATATACATGTATGTATGTATATATGTATCTCTGGATCAACGGATAAACATGGGCGCACCTGTGGCTCTCTTACGGCTGTTACTCCGTGTAAAGCGTTCGTCACGGGACAAGTAACGCCAACTTTATTCCCTTCCGTTTTGTCGAGAACTCCCCTTTGTATAGATGTGTATCTGTGTATGTTTTGTATGTGTGTGTATATATTTGCGAATGTATAAGTTAGTGTTACAGCTGACGCTAGTCGTCTTTAGTGACAAACAGAAAATCGCATAAGCAAAATTCACTTAATTCACTTACGAATTCTAATTTTTGTCAATATTGTAGATACATAAGTAAGTACTTATAAAAGGTACTTACTCGAATGAAGTTTTATTTGTCAAGGTGGTAATTGAAATATATTTTAAAAAAAAAAAAAGTTTGTATAGATTCGCGAATGTTAATATAATAAATCTACAACTGATGGATTAGAGTCGTCTTTAGTGACAAACAGGAAATACTCTGTCAGCAAAATTTACTTACAAATTATAATCTTTAAATTGCCATAAGTACTTATATGCGTAATACTTACTCGATCGAATTTTATCTGCAGAAAAAATCTTTACGCACCTGTATGTGTACTTACACATATATTATAAATATATAAATCTACGGTTAACGTTAGTGGTCATTAGTGATAAACAGAAAATCATACGAGTAAAAATTGACTACCTAATCTCATAACTCTATAGATACGCGTATAATATAATATCTATATAAGTACGTAAATACTTAAATACGATCCAAGCTTTATTATCAAGCGATTGCAATAAGAGATCAGACCATACGCGTGCTCATTTTCGCTTATTGCGTCGTACGCTCGTATATTACGTTATAATATCTCAGAATGAAAATATTTATGTGGAGTTAGAAAGAAGTATGTTAAATAAAAAAAAAATATTCTACGCGCGTCAGAATATAGATTGCGAAAACGTTTTAAACAGTGCGTCGGTTTTCTTCGAAATATTGTTTCATTTTTTCTCTTTCTCTTTCTCTTTCATTCAAATCGTACACCAATATGACGAATCAAAAAATAAGAAAAAATTATCGAAAAAAATAAGCAACGTTTTACCGGATGCGCACGAGTCTTGCATTAGAAAGTCAGGAAGCTAGCTAGAGTACTGCTGCCAAAGGTCAAGAGACAAAGTCAATGGAACGAGAATTTGTTCTCTTATCTATTCGTACTCGATTGATATAACCGAGTACGACCGGTTCGAGAGATTGTCTATGAGTACACATGTACTGCATTTATATACAAGATGTTCCAAGTGTCGCTTTCGCGAGAAGAAACGAAATCAAACCTAAAATCAATTTTTATTTATTAATATTAAATTACAGTATTAAATTTCTCACTTTAGTTTTCAATAATCTAGCCATGTTGTAAAAACCAGTTCCCGTAAAGTCACTAAAGTCAAGCAACGATGGGCACGTTTAGTATATTTTAATGGGTAACCCCTTCGGAAAAGAAACGTGTACTGTTGATTTCAGAAAGTCTTGAAAAAGTTGCCTACGTGCGAGAAGATTTCTTAGAAAAGTATAATAACTCAAATCCATAGAATGGGGGAGAGCAATAAAGACAGCATATATTTTATATTTGAAGTTATAAATCTCCAGTTGCAGTATTATTAAAAAAGTATGGACACCACCCGAAATATCTGTCAAAAGTTAAATTTCTCCGTTTTCGATAAAGTAAGATGACTTT